ATATATATATATATATATATATATATATATATATATATATATATATGTATATATATATATATATACATTGTTTTTTCGGTAGGCTCTCTTGTCAAACCGTTATTCCGACGCTGTCCTCAAGGTCCGAAAATGTAAAAAAACGACTTTTTTATTTAAAAGAGAACCTGCCTACTCCAAACCCTCAGTCGTTGTTTCCACACTCCGCTGCATGTTTTCTCTAAAAATCAGTCGGTGTATGTGCACACCGCAGCGTAAATCCCTATATACCCCATTTCGCCTATTTTGTAGAAATTCAAGCTCGCGGACGCAAAGGACGCTCAACGTCGGAATAGGGGTTTGACAAGAGAGGCTACCTGTTTTTTCATACCTTAATGAACGTTCGGTCATGTATTTCATCAATCTTTTTTGTTTGTTTGTTAGTTTACTCTATGCTTGTGATTTTCATAAATAATTTTGTACAGGACCATTTCAAGCTGGCTTGGGAAATAATAAATTGTGAAACTCGAACCTCTAAGGGACCAAAGAAAATGGTTTGACTTAAGAATGTTCGACTAAAGCAAATTCCCGTTAAGTTGAACTTTGGCTGATTGTACTAGTTTGAGTTTAATATATTATTTTGAGTGAAGGAGATTTTTCTTTATTCAATGTATATACATTAAAATTATATCATTATGTTTATGTTTCAATGAAAGAAGCTACAGGTTTTGTAATTTTTAAAAGTTAACATCTTAAATAAGTTTTTATATTATCAAATTAAGTTAAAACATCTGTTTATAGTATATAAACTTATCCTTATATATTCTTCTTAATATAATATATTTCTATAAGTTATATATACCCCGAATCACATATTCAAGTGATTACTTACATAACGAGGGTATATATAACCCCTAAAAATATTGTATTATATTAACAAAAATTTTATAAGGACAAGTTTATATATTATATTAGGGATTGTTCAAAAATTATGTCACGCTTTAGGGAAGGTGGGGGGGGGGAAGGAGGGAGGGGTAGGCGATTTGTTACGAGGGGCAGGGGGTTCTCGATTTTGTGAAGCAACATTTTTTTTTGGTTTGTTTGTTTTAAATCTAGAGAAGACTTTCTTTTAAATAAAAGAATATCTGACCAAATCAAAACCCTCAATTGAGGTATCTACATGTTGATTGCAAAATCAACTACACCTAAATCTTACTTAATCGATGTGTACACTCCGTTAACTCCAAAAAGTTAACTCCAAAAAGCTCAAAAAATTATTGGTATTATAATACTTAAAGACTGTTAACTCCAAAAAGCTCAAAAAATTATTGATATTATTATATTTAAAGTCTTTTTTTATTAGGGAAGGTGGGGGGGGGGGAGGTTTGGAGTACAAAGTTGTTGCGTAATATTGGGAGGAGTGGGGGTCAACTAAGTTTTACGAGGAGGAAGGAGGAGGATGAGGGGTCAAAAAATGTCAAAAACTGCGTGACGTAATTTATGGACGGATTGAATTCACGCAGTACAGTTAGAAGATAACATTCGAAAAATTTTAGCGACACAATGACTTCCTTAGTATTTGGTAATAAAACTCTAAAAAAGTCTAAAAAAAATTTAATTATGTTGGATTAAAAAGTAAAAACTCGAGTTTTTGCTTTGATGGAGTATTCTTAATTTAATTCAATTAGTTGAATTTTGTGATTTTTTTTATTCAAATTTTTTTGAAATTTAAAACTCATTTTTTATACAAAAAAGAATTTTTTAAACATAACTTTATAATTTTTTTCAGAGAAAAGCCTCAAAGAAAATCATCAGGGATTTATAATCTTTGGAATCTTCTAAAGCATGCTATTAATTTGATTAGATATGGTACAAGAAGTTCGATTAGAGCTGCACTAGGAAATGCTGTAACGCATGATCTTTCAGAGCTGTTTGATGATATAGCAATCGCATCAACTTTAGTTGAAGACAAATCCAAAATAGAAACTTGAAAGAAGATGGTTAAAATTTTATCGGACTTGAAATCTATTTAAAATAACACAGAACTTATTTGCTTTCGTGTTGATGGTAAAATCGATAACGAAACTTTAGTTGTAAGAAAAATAAAAATAAAAGATGATAAAGTTGTGCTAAAGTTAATCTACAAATAAAGAACTTAATATGACTGTGAGTAAAGAATTTATCACTAATCTTTATGGCCGGGAGTTACTTTACTCTCAAAATTTTACCTTTTGTTGCAAAAACAAGAAAAAATAAGCGCAGAGCCACTATAAGTTTTTAAAGAATATGATAATACTTCAACAAACAAATGTCATAAAGTAGGAATAATTTCTGAGTTAGAGAAAAAACGTGGACAAAAACTTCATACTATAGGCTGTAATCTTCATCAGAATGAGCTTCACTTAAGATATTTGTTTAAAACAATTGATGGAGCAACTAAGTACCTAAATCATTTTGTAGGACCATAAGGAAAAATAGATGGGTTTCATTTAGTTGTTAATTTTAATGTTATTAAATTTCCAATTACTGACATTGTTTTAGAAACTTTTTTTTTTTTGTTGGTGATAGTGATCACCAAATAGTGACCAGAGCTTTTATAAGAATGTTGTATGGAATTTGCTGCAGGAAATATGAGTATTTAATACTCAAGCTGGAAAATTAGTTGCCTTAATCATTCTTGTTGGTTAATATTAGCAATAATAATGATGCCACTATATGTACTACTATAAGCACAAGATTCTGGGTTTTTGATATTTATATTGTTCAAGTCTATGCTTCTACATGGCTCCGCTATAAAAAGTGCAATAAGTTGCATGAAGCTGTATCAACCATTTATTTTTTAATAAACCAAATCAAAAGTTTTAAAAACTATAAACCTAAAAAATAAAGTTCCAGAAATTTAAAATGATGTTCATATATTTTAAATTATATTTGTATATGAGCTCATAAATATTTTTGATCGAGACATAGATGAACCAGCAACAACATTTTACTGATGAAACAACAGAAGATTTTACTGATGAGGAGATAGTATAAAAGTTTTTTTTTCTAGAAAATAGTTCTACTTTACAGATATTCCCATTCACACGTGTTGAAAAGTTTCTACAACTTGTGGTTGTATTATTTTTGAAAAAGAAGGTCGTCATAAACATACTGTTGCAAAAATTCTTGCACGAAGCATTGGATGATATTTATATGCTTTTACACTGAGATACATAATAATTTTCTTAATTAGTTTGAAAACTAATTTAGTGCTACTTGTTCATATTATATAAAGTAAATGAAAATTTATAAATAACCATTGAGTTATTCGTTGCATAACGTTGTAAAAGTGACCATAAGATAATAAATTTAAATAGATAATTTTCAAACCTTCTATTTTTCAAACTGCAAAACCACAAAATTTAATTCAAAGGTTTTTATTTAGCGTTTTAAAATTAAACTTCGTACTCTAAAATAATTAAGCTTTTTATTTTAAAAATATTCTATTATTATAACCCCTAAGCTAGAAAGCTATAGTTAAGGAACATTTTAAATAGAATATTTGAGTTTTGTATAAAATACGGATCATATTTTGCGAGAAACGATTTTTAAAATAGTAATATATAATTTAAAAATTAGTTTAAGTTTTATTGCGGATATTTTTGTATTTCATTATTTCGCTTTGACTATGGAGTCAGTTTTTCCTCATTTATATTTTATATATCAAATAATTGAGTTCTGAATTTATAATACTATGTCGGAAACGCCGCAGTAAATGTTTTGTAAAAAGCCTTTGGACACTTCTTCAAAGCTAATATTGCTCATTAAAGATTTTTTTTTTTTAATTTTAATTAAAATAATTAACTTATCACAGAGTACCGTGGATGAGCATTTAATTGGAAGTTCACTCATCCTTCCTAACCAATGCCGCAAAACTTTCCTAGAAGTGGGGTTTGAACCACAAATCCTTTATTTCTGAGGCAAGTGCGCCATGGCTGCCCATGCTTTAATTTAATAAAATTCTGTAGGATGCACTTTTGGATCGTTTAGAAAATATCTCTTTGATGCCAAACACTTGATTCCAAAAAAAGTTGTAACTCGACCTGCCCTTCTAATTAGTTTCCTTTTGAGGTGCAAAAATAGTTTTTAGTTACACTCTCGATAGTGGAGGAGTTTATTGTAAATAAAAAGTTAATGAACAAGACATATTTATCTTCTACAGTATTCAACTTAAAGACTTTTTATTTATTTTTACATTTACTTATTTAAGTAATGGAAATTTACTCATTTAATCGACATTTACTCATTTAAGTAATCGAAATATTTGAGTTTTTTATATTTAGTAACATTTACATGATAAGTTTTATAAATACATTTGTATCTTGTATAAAGCACTCATTAAAAGAAATAAAAAATGCAAATCTTATTTTGTAAACTTCATTTATTTTAGAGGCAATTTTAATAAAATAAAGAATAAAAATGTTGCAAACAAAGTATAAATATATATATATATATATAAAAAAGCATGAAATCTTTCACAACTTTTCAAAATTTACTTTCATTATCGCTAAAAATATATTCCGAATGAATTAGATACGGTTAGATGCTTTAGACTATTTTGGCAACACAAACTTGTAATATAAACAATAAATATATAAATCTTTCCCTTTATATAAACAACCGGAACCGGAATAATTTATAATAATATAAAAACATGGTAAAAATTTATGTTAATACATTTACCATTATAAAAATCGCAAAATAATTTCAATATAACCGAAAAGATATTCGCTAAAACTTCATAAAAATAATATTTTGGCTATTGTAAGCTTCAATATATATACATATACATATATATATATATATATATATATATATATATATATATATATACACATATACATATACATATATATATATATATATATATATATATATATATATATATATATATATATATATATATATATATATATATATATATATATATATATATATATATATATATATATATATATATATATATATATATATATAGACACACACAAACTTAATTGTCATTATAATAATTATATAAATTTATTTGCCTTTATAATAATTTTCCAATAAACTGCATTATATTTACACGTTTAAAACAAGTATTAAATTTTTTTTTTTCATGTGTAAAGGTTTTTACACATTGTTGGAGCGTCGGTTATCAAGTTGAATCCGTAGTTTTCGCTTAGTTTTTCGATCGATACTTGCAACTTCCGAGCGTAATTTGCAGTAAAGTTTACTCATTTCGTTTAAGCGAAATTGCATCAAAGCAATTCTTTGGACTGAATCCTTTTTTTCTAACGCAAAGGCTATAAAATTTTTTGACATCAAAAATATTTATATATGAGCTCATTCCATGTCAATTTACTTAAAACAATATTTAACAAAATATTTTAAGCATCTGTATAGGGCTTAATATTCTAAGCATCCATCTTCTATACTACCTTAATTCACATAATTTTCGAGCAAATTTAATTTCGCATTTTTTTCTCTTCATTTAGTTTTCTCTATAATGTATCTATTTTAATTGAAATGTCAGCTGGAAACGAACTATATTTATCAAACAACAAAAACTTATAAATTTAAATAATCCAACTTGAGAACAAAACTTGCCTGAAATTGATTTCAAAATAAATTTCAGCGCAAAAATTAAATGAATCAAGGTAAACGATAAAGTTAAAAAACTCTGAAGCTTCAAAGAAGTGAATAAAGGATATTGCAATCAACTGTTAACTAAAAATATTAATGTTTTTTTATACATTATATATTTTATGATTTGAAAATTTATAATTTACAAGAAAAAAAAAACACCTTAGATAATAAACTATTAAATAATTTAAACAAAAACAGCAACAAAGAGTTGTTAATACCAGCGAAGCTTTTATATGAGATCGAAAGATGTTTAGACAAGAAAAACAAGCACAATATCCAATATAAATGACTTTTGTACATAAAGCAAAAAGCATGGTCTATATATAAATTTCGTTGAAGAAAATGTGTTTCTTGTGGTTGTATTGTTTATGTTCTATCTATTAAAGCATCTAGATAAGATTCCTCACAAGTATGTCAAAAATGATGGAAAAAATAGTTTGCTGGAACTATGAAGAACTATGGTTTAGACAAATATTTAACAATCGAACCAATTAAACAATCGAAATGAAAACATTATTTATAATAATAATAAAAATATACGATAAGTTGTAGTAAAAAGGGAGGAAAAGAGAGAGAAAAGGGGAGGGGAAAATCTATAAGAAAGAAATATTGGGATGGATTCAGGGTTGAAGATTTTCTAGATTTAAATGTCAACATCATTAAATGTCAAAAATGAATAAACAAGAAACTTATTCTAAACTGAAACATTAAAGTTCATAATTTTTGATATAACTTTTTTTTAAATAAATATTGGATATCGGAGAAAATAACGCCTAAAACAACACTAATAGAGTTTTTATTTTGAGTTGTTATGTTCATTACGAAGAACTGCATTATTTGCAATGATTTTTCTCCGGAAAAGCACTGCTATTAAATTTTTCTTTTTGAAATTATCAAGGCGCTCTAAAAGTTTTTAACGGACTTGTCATGAAGCAACAGAACATCATTTAACTATGAAGTTGATGCCACTTTTCTTACCAATGTCGTATATATGACCTGAGCAAACATCGAACCACTGATCTTGAAATTTTGAAGCACTAATCACTGCGCTAAAGCTGCTAACTATATAATCATATTATTTTCTGCTCTTTGGATAAACAACTTACTGAGTTACGCATAAAGTATTTATTACTGTCTTTAATTATAATTCTATATACAATTATAATTGTAGTTAAAAACACTTAAAAAATCTTACTTTTTTGTTTCAGCATAACAATAAAGTGTAAAATCAGATTTTGTAACAGTTATAGTCAAGAAATTTTAAAAGGATGTCATTTATATATGTAATATAGTTTTAACTTATACTTAAGAGTAAAATTAGGTGACCAAAATAAACTTAAAGTAAACGTTGGATCTCTTGTCTGTTGTAAAACAGGTGCGGAAGGTCTCAGTTGCTAAAAAAATAAGCAACTTACTTTCTATTGCACCCTAATGGTGGTATAGAGGAGACGCGAATTTGTGATTGCTAATTTTAAATGACAAACGAATAGTGCAGAAAAACCTTTAAGTAATTCAAAAAAACTAACTTCTAAGTTAAACAAACTAAATATAATTTACATTAAATTAAAATTCAATTTTAATGTTGAAAAAAAAAAAATTTACTAAAAGTTTTCTCATTCTTTAATATATACTAAAGAAGCATTAAAATGATATTAAATAAATTGAATAGTAGAGCAAAATAAGCAATTATTTACATTATATTAAAAATATTTAATGAGAAACTAAATACATATTATTACTTATCTAATTTTATCGGGTATAGTAATTTTTTTTAAGTCATAGATATAGCGGGTATAGTAGTTTTTTCATCATCAACTATGATCAGCAAGTAACAAATTCAAAAATTTTAAACAAATGCTCCAAAAATTAATTTATTCTAAAATATAGCATTCTGATTTTGAATATGGTCAAACTAAAAGGGTTAAAATAACTCATTTTTTTTAGGAGTGGAATGTTGTTTTGATCTAAAAGTATGTACTTAGCTGGTTTTAGATAAACTACAATGAGGCACATATAACAATTTGAAAACACATGTCAATTATCAAGGACTCAGTAGATAATCTAAGTTACTATTCCAGTTGATAAAAGGCATTGTGTGAAAACTTGTAAATTAAAATGTTTCTGTTATAAGAATTGAAATGCTACAGAATGCAAAGATTAAAAATTACAATAAATTTTTTGATAATTCTTTTGTTTTTACTCTTATGGTTTTGTTAAATCTTAAAAACACGTCATTTGATATATTAGATGATTTTTTTTAGTTATTTTATGGTTGGTATAGAATTTTTAAGTAATTAATCAGTCGCATCTTGCTCTAACTATAATAGACTATCAGAATTGATAGTCTATTATAGTGAAAAAATTTTAACCCATTCAAAATATTCCCTAATGGTTCAGATACTTAATGGGTTTTGACTCAAAGCCATTTATAATAAGTTTTTTTGTTTATCAGAAGTATAACTGGCTAATCATACCATGCATTTTTTTGTCAAATTTGTCAAGGCATTTATACTTAAATTTATTTGGTACCAGTCATTTCATATTTGCATAATAAAATTCTAAAGATTAGTTTCCACTAATCTGTATTTCTACAGGAACAGAAAAGGGAACAATAATCACACAAAAATGTGTAGTTTTGCTTTGGACAAATTAAAATTTATACCATGCATTCTCACGTTGTACTTCTGATAAAAAAAAGCACTTAATAGAGTGCCACTAACTGCAAGTTCAATGCTTCAATTATGATAGACTACTTTTCTAAATTAAAAAAAAAAAGGTTTGTTCTTTATTTTCCAATTTAGTCCTATCACAGAGTATCTTCAAAAGAATAGCATTTAATACTGTAGTTCCCTATTTTCAAGATCACTGATAACTCTTATACTAGTGGCCATTACACCTTAATCCGGCAACACTACACTAAAGTAGTTTTTATAATTTAAAAAACTTTCAGAGTTTTGGAGTCTGATTTGCAGGTGTTTTATAAATATAATCCTTTTGATATTTTAACTATTCATTGGTAATTTTGTTGTAATTGTAATTTATTGTTTTGTTGATAAACCAAATATAAAATTGTTTTTATTACCATTAATGTAAAATGAAGATTGAGTTGATTGTTAATTAATCAAAATAAATTGTTTTTGCTTTCAGATAAAAACAATTATGGGTTGACGCTATTTTACGATAAAGTACTTTACTATACTCGGTTGATAAACTTATAAAAAACAAATACTTTTTTGAATAACAATTCAAACAAAGTTTTCCTGTCTGACTCTCCTTTGTGCAAAAAGTCAGACAAAACATTGCCTTATTTCTCTGCAAAATTTCTAGATAATACAAAAATTTATGTACACAATTTTAAACAATATCAAAGTAACTGTTAGTTGTTTTAGTGATTTTTTCTTAATGAACTTAATGAAGTTCTTTTAAAATATAAGTTACTTTAATTAGTTGTTTTTTATTTTTGTAAGAGTAAACTAAACTTACTTACTAAACTTTTTCATTTGGTTTAACTTGTTCATTTAGTAGTTAAAGCGAATACAATATCCTATTAGAAACTTAGAAAAGTTTTTTATATGCTTAGTTCAAAAACTGTGTAATAATAAATTTACACGTTATTATATAATAAACTTATTCATGTTATTATAATAAATAATGCATTAAAAAAATAAATGAAAGAAACAATGTCAAATCTTGAAGATGTCAAAAAATAATAGAATAGAGAGCAGTTTCATTATTTATAATTTGATTTTTTTTTTGTCTTGATATTTTAAATAAGATTTTGAAAAGAAAATGTAAAAGAATAGAGTATTTATATATAAATTAGAGTTAATATTAAATATTATTAGAAATATATTTATCCTGTAACCAAGAAAATCAATGAACATACAAAGTACACTTAGACAACATTCTCATTACTTAAAGGGTAAGCCTCGAATGTAAATTACAGAAAATAAAATTTTTTGTAAGATGTCTAAATATAAAACCAACACAAGATATATATAAAAAAAAAACGGTGATAAATTAAAAAAATAACTAAACCTAACAAATAATAACCTGAGAGACATACCTAAATCAGACATAAAATCGATTTTATATTCAAGAACAGGTGGTTTTCTTTCCTTTTTTTCTTTGATGGGACTCTTTATGCTATCATCGTAACCTACAGAAGAATTTCGCTTTCTTTTTTGTCTATCGACTAGCTTTTTCTTACGAATTTTATCACTTGTTTTGGAAGGTGAAAAAGGCATAAGTTTAGTCTGAGTTTCTATTGAATCTGTTAATGTTTCTAATTTAGGTGCATGCTCCACTATACTGCAGAAATCATTTAAAGCATGAGTTTCATTTGTTCTGACAGTTTCTTGTTTTTTACTATTCATATTATTATTAGTATTTTGTTCAGCTGGAGCAGCAACTTTATCTATAACTGTCTCTTCGCTAATCAAGTTTACCTCTGGTTTTAAGTTAATTGTATCATAAGCATGATCTATTGTTTCTACAATATCAACTTTAATTACATTCTTTGAATCCTCAATCCATTTTTTAACAGAATCATCTCTTGCAGAATTTTCTTGACCATCAAAGCGATTTGTTTCTAATCTATTAACAATTAAAAAAGGTTTATCATATATATTTATTTTATGTTCTACTTCGTCATGTTCTTCATCTTTTTTAGTATTATAATCCTTGTCCCCATCTTTACTACTAATATCGCTTTCTGCACTTTGATCTTGATTCATAGCTTGTTGTCGACTAGAGCGCCTTGGTCCCTCTAATTTTAATGAATTATCTAAATATTAAAAAAAAAATATATATATATATATATATATACATATATATATATATATATATATATATATATATATATATATATATATATATATATATATATATATATATATATATATATATATATATATATATATATATATATATATATATATATATATATATATATATATATACACACACACATACACACAAATTCACCTCCCGAGGGGCAGCTATAGTTAAAGAAAATATTCTTTGTTTAATGCTAGGATCTCTGTAAGAATGTGCATATATATGCATGTATACAATAAAAAAATATTTTTTACATTTTTGTTGTAAAAAAACAGTTTTGGTACATTCATTTGATTTATGCTAAAGTTAGGGCTATAAAATCCTAAAACCAAACTTTGAGTCAAATATACATTTTTAAAATTCCTATTCCCATAAACTTAAAAATGTTTAGCAACTTCTGAAATGTTGGAGAAATAATGCAGAACTTTAAGTGACCTAGAGTTCTTTTTAAACCTGAAGTATTTATGTACTATTAAAAAAGATACAAAGAGTCTTTTAAATAACATGATAAATTTCAAAACTCATATAGTAAAGTACTTTGTTCTTTATAGACTTTAGAAGTTCATAAACATTTTCGAAGTTTAAGACAACAGAGGAAAGAAAAAAAAAAATCATCTAATTTTAAACCCCTTTTTTCTTTCCTAAAACACTTTTAAAGCTTTTACCCCTGGTTAAAATTACATTTAAGAAAGTTACATTACTATTGTTAAGATATTTGGACAAAATAATGTAGAAAGTAAAGCCTGTACCCAATTGAGAATTTACAATACTCTGATTTGGTTTCCCAATACTCTCCTCTAAAGCATTTAATAAAAAGGTATCTTGCATTGAATTTCTTGTCATTCTTGGTTTAACAGGACTTGGTTTAATATCTGGTATAAATAGTGAGTCAGATATTGGCTTAAGACGATGTATTGACTTAACCTGATTGCCACTATTAAGCTTATCGGGAGTGGTATCGCTTGATTTTTGTCGATTTAAAGATTTCATAGAATTAGCACACTTTGGAGATTCAGTATCATTAAACTGTGCTTCACTGTTATACAAAGGAGACTTTATTGAAGCACCGCTACATAAAGAGGACTTAGATGAATCATTGGAGTAAACAGGAGACTGTTGAGGTGATTGAGGAAGCTCAAAATTTTGTAGAGGAGATTTGCTGAGTTTATTTATTTCAGTATGAACATATTTTGCAGATGTCTCATTATCATTAATTGATGAGGATCGTTGCTTATATCGTAGTGGTGGATCTTTAGCAATCTAGTTATTTGAATATTTCAGGAAAAAAATAAAAAATATATATCAATTTGAAAAAAAACAAAACAAAAAAAAAAGCCAAATAAACAACAGAAACAATTTACTTTTGATAATGGTGCTGGAGGAGTTGAGTGTCGCTTTTTAGTAGGTGCACTTAAACCAGCAATGCGTTCATCTTTTACCCATTCATCATATCTAATTAAAAAGTGAAAAAATAACAAAAAAAAGAAACACAAAAGAAAAACTATAAATCTTTGTTGGTTATTAAATAAAGTCATTCATAAAAAGTGCTGCCATTTATTTGACAATTTAGTTAATTAAATAAGTCAGCAAAGAAAAGTCGCTAAAAAAAGGGCTGGTTACCAAAAAAAGTGACGGTCATCAAAAAAAGTGATGGTCATCAAAAGAAGTGACGGTCATAACACAGCTTTAATGCAATTAAACAATTATTGTTATTATGCAACAATATGTTATTTGCAATACAAACAAATGAGCTACTTGTAATAGTTGTGCAGTGCTGCAGCAAAATAATACAGATAACAAAAACATGCCTTAATGATAAAATGGTAGAATGCTCCCTTTGTAAGCTAAAAGTATGGAGTTTGAACACCATCACATTCCTAGTAGTACTACCTCAACTTGTTTCACTGTTGGTTTTTTAGTCAAGATTTGTGTTTTGTATTCATATAGATAAAAAAAAATTCTGTAACAAAATAGCCTTTTCTAAAACATAATTTTATTTAAAGATTTAAATTACCTTAGGGTGTAAATTTATAAACAATTTATTGTTTTTACCTATGATTCCAATTGTTATAATGAATATAATAAACAACTTCATCATTTTCTTCATCCACTTCTAAAATTTTTGCATTATATAACCGTTGATTTTTACCACTTCCATAATGTACAGAGATTCTAGTCCCAGCTTTATATTTGCTATTAATTTCATTACAGTTTCTATTCTCAATTTCTTCACTTGTAACAGAAGTGTTAGGACTATTGACTACGTCTACATCTTCTCCTTCAAGTTTTACATCAACATCTTCACTTTCAAGTTTTATGTCAAGTTCATTTTGTGATGAAATAGTCCTACTATTTACATCTATATCATCTCTAATTGACTCTGTTGGTATTGCTAATGGTCTTTCTACAATACGACATAAACGACTCGATCGTCTCCTATCTGGTTCAGAATCACTTTCTGAAACTATTGATTGGTTTTCTACTTCCCCTTTTAGAGGACTGGAACGTTTAGATTTGGATTTACACTGTTTTGGCGAGTTGCTAGGAGATGACTTGGAAAATAAACTTAAATGTTCTTCATAAGGCCGTAGATATCTGTAAATAAATGATTTAGTTATTGAGTACTTAATGATTAATTAATAAAAAAATAAACAGAACATTGAGAAAAAAGTAAAAAATGTACTTTCTAAATAAATTTTTCATATTTATAGTAGCTGTAGAATTAAAATTTCTCAAACCAAGTTTAGTGTAAATACTTTTCCATTGTTGGTTTGAAATCTAAAAATTAGAAAATATTATTTACACTTTACTTTTATGCATGTGTGTGTGTGAGAAACCATATTATACCTATAAATTAATAAAACATTATTAGATTAAATCTGAAAATTTTTTTGAAATTAAAATGAACAAACTTTTTGAGTGCACCTAGTGGCAACACAAATCTAAAATGTATTTAATTGATTTCATTCAATAGATTTTCAATTAAAAACAATGCATTACTTGTTCAGCCAGACAATTAAAAACAATGCATTACTTGTTCAGCCAGACAATGCCACTCATTGTGATTTTTGAAATATTTTCAAAATTTTTATATCTTTGAATTTTTTAATCATCCTATTGAAGTGTTGTATTTAACTATGAGTTAGAGATTTAGCTAGAATCAATACTATAATGAAAAAGTAAGATTATAAAAAAAAAAAAAAAAATTAACAAAATGTGATTCCGTCTTCATTGCTAACAAACAGTTTCAGATTAATAGATGCAGCAGAATCCTTAATATAGCTTTTTAACAGAATGAAAGAGAAAACAGGGAAAAATGTTTAAGAATAAAAAGTTCTGGTCTTAATTAAACTGTCTATTGATGCCAATTATTTAAAAAGGATGTGAAAAATCTTGAAAGAATATTAGAACAATTTATAATTTGAAAAAATAAACACCCAGATATGTAAAAGGTGACTAAATCTAAGTTTTTTATAAATAAATAATATAATTTTTTTTAAATTTTGTAAAAAACAAATTTTTTTTTAAATTTATTACAATTTTTGCAAACATTTCATTTGCAAACATCTTTCTGTGTTAATTTATTAAAAAATTATATTATCTGTTTTTATAAACATCATATTAGTTCATTAGAATGAAATTTTAATCTTTTCCTTTTTTTTATTCTACATTGTATAAAAAACATTTGAGTACTCTCAATGAGTAATGATAGTGTGCAATTTTGTTGCCAAAACAAAACCATAATAATTTCTAGGAATTAGAATTTGGAATAAGTTTTTACCACATATTTTAAAAGTCAAAAGTGATTATCTTGAGTAAAATGGAGCAAAGATAAACAATAGATAAAAATTTAACAGATACTTGCAGTTATTGCAACTCCACTTCTATGAATAACAAAAAAATTAAAACTAAAACTGCTTCTGAACAATTGATAAGAACCCAGGGATAAGTCTGTGAAACAGAATAATGTTGAAAGTAAAGACTTTAAAGTAAAATTTATTTGTAGATTTTAACCCTTTGTGCACAAATCAACAAACTTATTGGTAATGATTTATAGCTCTGAGCAAAATAATTACAGAATGAATTTTGACATGTGTTTAAAAAACATTAAAATTTTGAGCAAAGTTTCAAACATAAGTTGAGATGACCTAGAATAACTCATACAACAATTCAAAATAAGCATATTACAATAATATAGTGTATACAATTTGTATTATAAAAAAAAATGTTAAAATCAAAACATTAAAATTATCAAAATAATGTAAAAATTTATGAAGTAATTTTTAAATAGTACTTTTTAGATAATTTTTAACCTTAACTTTGGTCTATTTATCTTAACGATGAATTTTCAGTAAATGATTTTACTGCTTAACAGAACAGATTAAATTAAACCGATTAATGAAAAAATAAATAAATTTAAAAATGTTAAAAAACTATTACTTTGATTACAACAAGTTTTTTAAAGAACAACTACTTGCACAAAATTCCAAAAGTCTACAAAAAATAATTACATTTCAACAAGAAATTTGGTATATATAGACAGTTATGTAAATTCAACTATGGTGGAACAAAGAGACACCAGAAGAAATATTTAAAATAAAAAATAGTAATGATTCCACTTGTCCACTTGTCTAATAAATAACTAAAAACTAAAGCAGTTAAAGGTTTCAAAAAAAAAAATCAAATAAAAATTAAATAAAAAAAAAAAAAAATCAATAAAAAAGATAAACTTAAAACAAAAAGGTCATTAACTATCAGCTCACATTATGCATGCATCTGTTTGTGTCTGTTTATATCTGTTATGTTAAGATACAGGCAATATCTAAAAAAAAGAAGCATTTCGTTTCTATTCGATTTCTTCTGTCTTTTTTCTTTTTGTCTTGATATACACAGATTTTGCCTGTGTATAACTTCCACTCCATCTTCATTCTTTTAGGTCATCTCCATTCTGCGCTTGCTTAGTGCTGATACACACTCATTCTATTTTGACTCCTGTCTGCCTCTTTACACCAACTTCACACTGTTCTGCTCATTTCTGTTTCTGATTCTTTTCTTTTTTTTTCCGTAAAAAGTGAATCAAAAGCAAAATTATTAAAAAACCTTTTTAAAACTATTAACAAACTTGCTTGTTTTTAAAACTTGCTTTTTAAAAAGTAAATTGCCAGTAATACTGGAACCTTGTTTATATTAATTTTTTTATTTAAAGATATTAAACAAGATCATCTTGAAGTTTACTCGTTTTTCCAAACTCATGAGATTTTAAAACCTACTTTTAGTTATACGACTTTTTGTTGTACTTTTTCAAGTACATTTTTAATGAAAATAATAATTAATATAACAAATCAAAATAAAAAATTAAATTTATTTAAATTAAATCATATTTGATTATTTAATTTACTTTATTTTAAAGACATATTGATAATTAAAGTTGATAATAATACAATAGAAATATAACAAAAAAAATACTGAAATTCAACTTAAGCAAAATATACCTCTTCTAAAACACCATGTTGTGTTACTAATTCAAACATCTTATGCAAATTGACAGCCTGGTTATTCAATGTAGGTTCTTTAGTAATAGGTGTACCTAAAAGTATTCAAGCTATTGTGAATAATTGGTAATAAATATTTTGCAATTCAATGAAATGTTAGAAAGTTCAAAAAGTTTACAAAAAATAAACATTTTTAAAAAAGAATTGAATTTGTACATTCTATACAAATTTAAAACACTGTATTCTTCAATAATCATGCTATATAATATATAGAATATTAATTATTTAATAATTACCTATTCTATTAACATTTAATAATTATTTTGTTTTAAAAATATTTTTTGGAAATTATTAGGGTAGTAACATAGGGGTAGTAAAACTTTTAGTGTCCTACTATTTAGGATCTGTGTGTTCTTTAAAACATAGATTCATTTTCTAATAAATCTTTTTTTATCTTACAGCAATTTATAGTCTATTAGCAAAATTGGAATTAGCTTAAGTAAATCATTTACTTTACAACATACTTAGAACTTTTTAAAATGTTAGGTTATACAAAATTATTCAAACTAAATGTTGTTGTGGTCTAGATATTAAAGATAAAAATCATTGGCATTAGGGTTAATTTATTGCCATCTGATAACTTTTAGAAAGTTAGTCAGATGTTAACTAAATCATCGAAAGTTAAAAAATTTTCATTAATTTAGCTAATATTTAAGAGAAAAGTCCTTTGGAATAATGCAAAGGAATACTTTGTTGTCAAAAGAGACGTTGCAGTACACCCTTAGTGGATCTTCTTGTCTGATTTAAGATGGTGGCTGGGAGTCTTTTGGGATTAATATTGTACTAAGATATCCATCTAAACATTATCTAAAAGAAGGAATGCTTTAAATAACAACGTGGTCCACTTCATCTACTTTCCTTATAAACATCTGTAAATGTGTAAATTCATACTGGGAACAACTTATGCCTCTAATTATGTCATTGTTCTTACTGTTAAATAATATTCAACTAACCATTAATGCATGAATGTCACATTGTCTTATAATTTCAGTGTTAATGTGGAGGCCTGAGGAAATCATTTTTATGGGATGCCTTCAGATCAAACACATATTTATCTTTTCATTACTTTGAAAAAATAAATATGTGTTTTACAGATGTCTTATAAATACTTATGTATGAATAGATGTTTAATGGTACAGTATTAATGCAAAATAATTATTTTTTGACAAAATATCTGTACTTTGCCAAAAAGGTAAAAAAGAGCTTCCTAAATTGCTAAACCAAATGTAAAACTTCCTAAATAAAAATATAAATGAAAGTGTTCAAAAATGTTCCCCAACATTTAAAAACAAAATGTTTTTAGTTTTTTACTTTTTTTTAAACTTTTGCACTTGTATGATTGTTATGCTTGTCTTTTTTTTAATTTCAAAATAGTGAAACACCAACCAACCATTACTGTTATTATGTGTATTAAAAGCAACAACCATATCTTGAAAACAATATACACTACAGAAAAGTACAGAAAAAAATTTTAAGATATTTATGTGACCATGCATTTTTTGACCCTGACATTCTTCATTGTATCAACTTAAAAACCCTAAAAACACTTCCTGGCGAAGGATCCTTTTTCAAAGCTAGCTTGAGTTTAATTTCTAAGCAGAAAACAGAACAAAAGTCTACTAAAAAAAGTCAATTAAGTTGGCTTTAAGTGAAAATTTTAAAAGAACAGGTGTCAAAAAGCAACAAATTATAGCAATCTCTGAAAATACCTCTGAAACATTTAGCAATATCAAACTGATTTTAGACCTAATTCAAGTAAATGACATTGATTTAATTGACAAATTGATTCTGTCATGTGATATGAAGCTAGCAGATTGTCTGTGGAATTCAGTCTTACAGTAGCAAGCATCCTTGCTGCTGGTGCAATATAAAGTGACAAATTTGACCAACTATGGCCAGCTCAAAACATTTGGAATAATCAGAGACCAACATCAAAAATTTCTTTCTTCTGGTGCTGATCTAAAAAAAAATCTTGGAAGTTATTCCTCCAATAAAACCTCATTTGCTTTTTGGTGTTGTTAACCATCTTATTAAGCACTTAGTTTAAGTTTGGCAAATATCGAAGAATGTTTGACTTCAACACATATACCATTACAGCCATATCATGGTTATCACTTCAATAGCAATAGTTGCATGAAGTTGCTGAAAAAAATTGACACCCTGAAGCTGAATACCATGATAAGGCACCTGAAGCATCATCCATTTGCCATGTTTAACATTTGTTAATCCAAGTTTTATTTTAAATTCTTGTTTTAGATGCTCTCTCTCTCTCCAGACTTTGAGAAAAAGATTGAAGAGTTCAAGACCAATTATCTAAAATTGACTGTTTCTGTCACAGTTTAGAAATTGTAGAATATAGTGAAAAACAGCAAAAGCCAAAAATTTATGCTGTTTTTCTCCATATTCCACAATTTCTAAAGCACCATAAAACAAAAGACTTGATCTTAGAATTTACAGTGGGTGAGCAACACTTCATTCAAACTTTAAGCCTCATTGACAAAGATTCAAAAGAATTTGTTCACATCCAGATTATTCTAAACAGTTGTTGTGGATTACAATAGCTAAAAATTCCAAGCAGCACAAAAGGGTACAACTAAGACATTTGTGATTGAATTCCAAAACTAAGTATTTGAGTAAGTAAAAAAAATTTGGTAATTTTGAAGCTAAATAACTCTCTTGGATTTTAATCTATGATTTCAAAACTTATTGTTTTGGTATCCCTAATGTTTATAGAATCAACCCTCAAAAAGACAATTTTGGAAAATTTATTTGGCAAAAGTCAAAAAAAATAGTGTTAGTACAATAAGTCAAAAAAAAAAAAAAAAAAAAAGTAATAATACATATAAATAATAATAGAAGTATCAATAATATTAAAAATAATTATAATACAATATAAACTGTATGAAAATATCATAGACAATAATTAAATATAATAGTAACATAAAATGTAGCAATAATAACACAATAAAAAATATAAATAAATAATAAAGCAAAAATCAAACCACTCTTACGTTAAAGAAGTTATATACTAAAGACAACTACACAACAGAAATTCTAAAGAAATACACTCCAACAATACATTTTTAAATACAATTTTGTTGAGCAGTAAATAATCTATAACAAGGGGATATAATTTTTAAACTTTTTTATTAATACGGGAATACGCTGGTTCCATTGAGAAATACATTGTTGTTTTACGGAAACCTTACCATATTTAATTGCGTTGAAAAAAGAGGAATACTAATTAAGATTTTACATATTTTTTTATGTAACAAAAATATAAACAAAAATTTATATTTACCAAAGTTAAATTAAATAGAAAATTACCATTTTGTTCCATAAATGAATACAAATTTTCTAAAAATATCTTTGTTTCTGATGACAATGTTTGAGACAAAGAAACATCATCGTCAGAGCTATCATCCTTTTCATCTATTGTATCTAATATATTCCAGCCTTTTGGTAGTTCACCAAGATCATGGTAGGAAAGAGCCTTCTCAATTGCTAAACCAAATAAAAATAAAAATATAAATATAAATATAAATACACACACATGTTATGTTAATTTATCATCAAGGACATGAAGGCCACTACGGTCGAGGAGGCTACTTTAATTGGGGTTATAACCCTCTCTCAAACTCTATAACTCCGAAACAGGAACTTTGACAAACAAAGCTGCTGTGGGGAGAAACAAGTTTAGCATGGTACTACCAGGGACGTGGTGGGAATCAAACTCGGAACTTCTCTCTTATAAGGCGAGTGCTCTATCACTACACCACCACCACATTTTATATGTATATACATATAAATATATATATATATATATATATATATATGTTATATATATATATATATATATATATATATATATATATATATATATATATGTATATATATCAGGGATGCAAAGTCCCAAAAAGAACTCAGGATTTGAAAGTCACAAAAAGATTACTTCTTTCTAGTTTTTGGTATCCAGGAGCTTTAAAAATATGAAAAAGGTTATGGGCTATTAATGGGGAAAAAATCAAGATTATAGCTCATAAGAGCAATCAATTTTTGAACCCGGAGTCCTTGGTATAATGGCGGCAAAGACTCCGGGACATCAGGAATCCAAGACTATAAACAATAAGTTCCAAGTCATTAAATATCATATTTTTTTTACTTATAGCAGATCATTAATCAACCAACATTTTTCTTTAAAACATTCTTTTTACGGTTATTTTTTTTAAATGAGCGGACACTTGTTTATGGTTGATTTTCTTAAAAGGATTTAAGTGTACTTCTATACAATTAGATTAGGTTTTCCCCTTTTTAAAAAAACCTTTGCGTTAACTGGCTTTTGATTAAATTAAAAATTGTAATTAAACGAAGATTACCGCTTTTTGGCTTTGTTTTTTTTTATTTCCATTAAAATATTTTATTTTAATCTACCGTAAAACCTAAAGTATTTTTACTATTTCTTACTAAATCCAAAAAGAAAAATAGTATTTTCAGTTTTAAGATGTTATTAGCAGAACTTGTTTTTAACAAATATCAGTATAATTTTAAAATTTACGTATCTTACATCTATAGCTCATACCTATGCCAAATGAGAAAGTCTTGCAAAAATTTGGCAACAAAAAAGCCCTAAAACGTTTTCACCCCCCTGCCTAAACGTGAGGGCACTGATGTAGTAAAATTTTAAACTTTACTATCTTAAACTAAACTTAAATTTATTGATAGATTTTAAATTTCATAGAAAAATATTGTAAATTACAAAAGTTATGACCATGCAAAATTTACACCCCCTCATTTTGAGGGGGTTGGTAAATTTACAGCCCCTCATTTTGAGGGGGCTTTTTTGTTCCCAGGCTTCTCTGCCGTCCCAAATTTTTGCAAGACTTCCTCATTTGGCATAGGTATGAACTTAAGTTTGAAGTTTGCACAATGTGAGGAAGTGTCCTATCTGAAACATCAAAAAATGCTGGGTACGCGCCTGTATAGCACTAGTATTAGTTTTGTTTTTGAAACAAAATAAATATAAGTTGGGCTTTTAAAGAGTTTATTTATTGATCGTGTTATTTTTAATCGGTTTTGGTTCATTTTATAAAAAAATTCGACTGCATAAAACTTTACGGCAAAGGGAAAACCCAAACAACATTTAAACTCGAGTTTGAAAGAACTTGTATGACGTTGTTTATTAACTACAAAAGCGCATTATTTAGACCAGTGTTTGGAACTGGAACTTACTTAAAACTTAACTGAAATTAAAATGTAAGGGATTGTCCATAAATTACACAACGCAAAACTTAGTAGGAGATTATTTTGCTCTTTTGCGCGGCGGTGTTTGCTGGACTTTAAATGTTGTTAATAAGGCATGCTATCGGAAAAATCTGCCTACCTTTTGCGGTGTGGTAAAGCTAGTTAACGGTTGTTTTTAAAAATTATTTTTTTGTGTGTGGTAGTGTTTGTATAATAGAACATTTTGGCAGAAAAAAATAATTAAAAATATTATTTAGTTTCAAAATGTCAACCGAGCAAACTAAACAAAGATTTTTGATTGTGGACAAACACTTAAAAAATCCAACTTTATCGAATAGAAAGTTGGCGAAATCATTTAAAATATCAAGAAGAACTGTAGATAATGTTCTTAAACGGTTTACAGAACAAAAAACTATTCAGAGAAAACAAGGAAGTGGTCAGAAAAACCAAACAGCAAATCCTAGAGCTCTCGAACGATTGGAGACTTCATTAGAAGAACATCCTGATTGGACTGATAGATTTCGAGCGAAAAAACTGAAGGTTTCCAATTTTTTTGTACAAAAATGGCGACAGAGACTTGGATATCAAAGTTTTAAAGTAGTTAAAATGCCAAACCGAAAGCGATAAACAAAATTCAACCGCAAAGAGTCGAGCTCGAAAGTTGTATGACAACTTGTTAACAAAACATAATAGATGCATTTTGATGGATGACGAAACTTATGTTAAAATGGATTTTAAACAAATCCCTGGGCAGTGCTACTATGCTTCTAAAACAAGAGGAAATGTGAGTGATAAATACAAGTATGTAATGACTGATAAATTTTCGAAAAAATTGATGATTTGGCAGGCACTTTGCTCTTGCAACAAAAAATTGCCAATTCATGTTTGTTTGGGCACAATGAAATCTTCGGAATACATGAAATGTTGTCTTTCTCGTGTAAAATGACTAATTAAAGCTCTTAGGTGTTTCAGCATTGTTTTAGCCTGATTTAGCCACAATACATTACTCAAAAGATGCTTAAAAGTTTTACGATGATAATGGAGTGATGTTGGTTCCATAAAAGATGAATCCTCCAAACTGCTCCGAATTACGTCCTAATAAAAAATATGGGGCCATCATAAAAAAGAAATTGAAATTAAGTGGAAAAAAAAAATCTATGAGCTTTAATTAGTCGTTTTATACAGTAAAATCAGCTACAGATTTGAAAAAAAAAGGGGGATTACGCTGCTAAAACTTACAAAAATCACTCTGTCCAGAAACTTATGGGAGGCATCAAAAAGAAAATCAGAATTTTCTGTAAAACTTAATTTTTTTAAATTTTTTTCCTATTAATATGTAATTTTTACATACTTAATTTTTCAGAAATATATTGACTTAAATTCATTTAAGCTTTCTTACATCCTTTTTTCATCAAGAAAGGCGGGCAGATTTTTCCGATAGCATGCCTTATACTTGGTTTAAATAATGACTCTGCGAGGGAAAAATTTTAATGCTTTGTCTTTTGTCTATAAGTTTAATTTCGCGTTGGATGATTACTAATACGAACATTTTAAAGTTACTTGAATTAAATTTATAAATTTTTTTTTTACTTTAACATAAATTTTAGAAATTTTAACAGTAAAAAAATTGTAAAACTGAGCGTTTTGAAACTTTCAAAAGAATTATAATTAAATTTAATCAAATAAATTACTAAAACTATGAATAATAATAAAATTAATTCAAATTTAATAATATTAAAAATATTTTTTTTCTAAAAAACGGAAAATAGAAAAATAGATATCTATCTGTATTTTTATCTAATAAAAAAAATTCCACAAATGTTTTTTTACAACAATTACAATTAATGTTTTTCGCTTAATCTGTTTTAAAAAACTGTTCAAAATAAACTTATTAAAAAAAGTTTTTGCGTAACGTAAATAGCGAAACACTTACATGAAATTGTGAATACGGTTCTTAACAAGGCCTGATATATACATATATGATGTATATGGATATATACATATACGTGTATACAGGGGTTAAAGTATAATAAGAGATCAAGTGGAACAGTGTTAAAAAGTTTAAAGCATGTTTAAAGGAATGTGAAATAGCCTGACTGTCTTCTAAATTAGGTCATTCAAGTTTTAGTTGTAGGTGCATTTTTGCATTTCAAGGTCTCAGGTTATGACCAAAATTACTATATCTGTCCATAATTGTTTGCCTATATCATATGCCTAAATTAAATGCTTATATTAGAAAAAAAAAATTAAAATGAGCTCAGTTTTGGTGTTAACACATAATAATAATAACCAACATAAACTTATTATTATAAACAAGTAATAATTATGTTCAATATTAAATAAGTATTGAATACAATAGTAGATACTATCAAAGTGTTTTGAAACACTATAGCAAGTTCCAAAATGATTTAACTTTGGTTACTTTATTTTCCTTTCTACATGGTCTTTCCTAGCAATCAGTGTCTACATATATTCACCTATTCTATTGCATACTCCTTTGGCAGGAATTCTTTTAGTAGAGGAGCTTCAATGCTGATTAACATCAAAGATTATGTATACTTTACTGACAATATGCATCATACATCTGTACATCGAAAAGCCTTTTTCTGCGTTGCTCACAGGTATGATCATTAATGAAGACTGAATCACATCTCGGAAAATACCATTTTCAATGGCCAATTTGATTTTAGAAACCTAGGGACTTCCTCCAAACTTTCTCGTTTCAAAGATAGATATGAGTTGAGAGATAATGTGAATTGCTTTTGCAAGAGTAATATCTTTTAATTGTAGAACTTCTGAAGTTGATTTGAGTTTTTCCAAAGCATAATACATTAATACTAGGTTTTAATAAAATTACACTTTTGCAAGTTTCTGTGAAAGGCTTTTTATTTTGGATTTCTTATTTGAGTCCCGTGATAGATCAATTGAAAGATTTACGTGAAACCTTAAAAGTTGTGCAAAACAGATATAACTGTTCAAAATGATGAGGCAATCCATTGTGTACTGAGAATTCGCATTGTGTAATGAGATCCATTGTGTACTGAGAATTCGCATTGTGTACTGAGAATTCGTATTGTTTTTCAAAAACTGAGAGCTGTTCAAAGCATAAAGAGTATCAATGAAGCAATTGAAATGGCTATGCATGCTTTAACTGCACCAATTACACAGGCCTTGTTTTAAATAACAAATGCTTAACACATCAGCCTAATGTGAATTTGACGTCATAAAATACTCTTTATCTTTTTATTTTTTAAAGACATTAA